GTGGGCCTGACCCACCATTATTTTTCAGGTGTTCGTCAATTCCAGTCTTAAAGATTGTTCGTGCCGAGCAGAGACAATCATTCACTCTTCCGACTCTACGTAGGACTCTTCTTCATGGTTTAATTATTAGTTTTATTTCAGTTTAGTTATTTCAGTTAGGATATTATTAAGGGTCCACAATATGAATTCCTGAGTTATAGTTTTAATTAAATACTGGTATCAGAGGATTGGAGAATAACAGTGACTGGGAAGTCTCCCATTCGTTTGTTTGGGAGACTATCTTCCACTAAAATTCTCTTCGTGGCATTTAGATGTGTTGAATCACGTGTATATCAAATGCATACTCTTTCTATTCCTTATCAATGTGGGACAAAGACTAGAGTTTTAAGAATATAGGCCAAGAATTTGGCCTTTTAAAAAGGGTTTAGTGTAAGGAATGCCTCTCGTAACAAGATTGGGCTGGGCCGTTTTTAATACTAGTGCGCCCTCCTTACACTGTGCTTAATTACTTTAATATTTCCCTATATAAAGGAATGTAAACAGTACTTTTTTTACAGATGTGGGACAATAGTAAACTGTTGTAGAACATCAATTACTACTAAGAAGAGACTTCAAACAAAAACAATCATAGAGATTTGTCTTATCGATTTGTCTAACTTATCATTGTTTTTCTTTTCATAAAAATAAATGTCTTCAAAAATCTGTCACAAATCGTAGGGTACTAGTATTGCCCCATTTTACGAAAAGAAAAAGACATATGAAGCAAAATTACATCCCACACTGAATATGATAAAAATATTTCATACTTGAAATAGAGGTTTTAATCAATAAATTGGGTTATATATGTTATAAACAACCGTATTGGCATAAAGAAAGTCTTGAAAATTTGACAAATTTCCTAACGGAAGTACCTTTTCAGATGTATCACATTCCAGGGGCGTGCGATTGGACGTCCATCAGCTTCAGCTAATCGATAAGCTCTTTTGCCTACCACTTCTGTAACTTTATAAGGTCCGGTCCAATTGGGTTGTAACTTCTTTACATGAGTTGTTTCTTGCTTCATAATCCAATCACCTACTACAAAGCTTCTGAATCTAACGCGCTTGTTATAACTGTTGCTGGTATAAAGCGAGCCTAATTACTGCAGCGTCTCTTTTTTCTTCCAAAAGGTCGAGGCTGTGTTCGAGCTGCTGATCATTGTTCCCTTTGAGTAACAATGACGTCCGAAGGGTTTGAACTGCTGATTCTGTCGAAATGACAACTTCAGAACCATAGGCCATAGCGAATGGACTTTCCCCCATTGGTCGCCGTGGGGTGGTTCGATATACCCAAAGCACCTGATGTAGATTCTCGTACCACTTTGATTTAAGCTTGTCCAATTTCTTCTTCAAACAGCTAAAAATAGTTCGGTTAGTTATTTCAGCCTGCCCATTCCCTTGTGGATGACTAACAGCAGCTAATTTTTGCCTAATTCCATGCTCGGCGAAGAACTTTCTTGTACTTCTGTTGTCGAGGTTCTTACCATTGTCCATCATGATAACTTTTGGCACCCCAAACCGACAAATTATGTTGTTCCATAAGAAACTCTTTACTTGTTCATGGGTCACACTTGAATAAGCCTCAGCTTCTACCCACTTCGTGAAGTAATCCGTGGCTAGTAACATATTCCTTTTGTTCCACAGCTTGGGGAAAAGAGCCTACCATATCAATCCCCCATTGTGCGAATGGCCATGGATTTGCCATTGCGTGCAAGTTTTCAACAAGTTGATGTTTCATTGGACCATGACGTTGGCATTTATCGCATCTCCTGGCATATTCTTCGGCATTCCGAGCCAGGTATGGCCAAAAGTAACCTTGAGTTAAAACCTTATGTGCTAATGATCTGCCGCCTGAGTGATTTCCACAATCCCCATCGTGGACTTGTTTCAATATTATGAGAGCCTCAGTAGGGCTTAAACATTTCAAGTAAAGACCTGAAAATGACTTCCGATAAAGTTGGTTATTAATCATAGCATATTTGGTTACCGTGAGTCTGAGTTTCCTTGCCTTAGCTTTCTGGTTCGGAAGAGTTCCGTGCTTGAGGTAAGCTTCCAATAGATCAATCCAGCATGGTTTCCGCGGAATTTGTGGAATCACCATTACCTCATGCTGAGGGCTTATGCTAGGTTCGTCAATGACGTCAATTGGTACGATCCGGGTCAAATCTTCACCTGAGGAAGATGCAGCTGCGGCCAATTGATCTGCTTCAGCATTATCATCACGAGGTATTTGGTAAAATTCAATTTGATCGAATCCTCGTGCAACACTCACTACAGCTTCTTTGTATGCTTTCATTCTTTCTTCTTTGGGTTGATATTCATATCACCTGATTTACAAGTTGTGAGTCACTAAAAACTTTTAGACACCATACCTGAAGTTGGCTAGCCAACCGAAGCCCAGCGAGTAAAGCTTCATATTCGGCTTCGTTGTTAGTAGCAAGAAAATTCAAGCGAATTGACTGTTGCAACTTGGTTCCTTTAGGTGTTGAAATAACGATTCCAGCTCCTGCACTAGTTTGATTCGAGGAGCCATCCAACCGAAGCTCCTAATGTGGTTTGGGAAACTCTGGCTCTTCGGGCTTATCCTCATATTCTAAGAGAAAATCGGCTAGTGCCTGTCCTTTGTGGGACACCTTCGGCTCATAGGTTATGTCAAAGGAACTTAGCTCGATGGCCCACTTGGTAATTCTCCTAAATAAATCTGGCTTAGAGAGTATAACCCATATAGGGTAGTTGGTGAGTACCATGATGCTATGAGATTCGAAGTAATGCCGAAGCTTTCTTTTTGCAAAAACCAATGCTAGTATGATCTTCTCAGCTTTGTTATACCATGTCTCTGCATCTGTCATCGTCTTACTCATGTAGAAGACTGGGTATTGATTCTTTCCTTCCTCTCTGATTAATACTGCACTTGTAGCTATGCTGGAAATTGCTAAGTACATGATAAGAGTTTCACCAGGCTTCAGAGCAGATAAAATGGGAGGTTTAGCCATATAGTGCTTCAATTGATTGAGAGCCATTTGCTACTGAGGTCCTCATAAATCTTTATTTTTAGACTTTATAGCATCGAAGAATGGTTTGCACTTATCTGATAATTGAGATATAAAACGGCTGAGAGCTGCGATTCGACCGGTTAAAACTTATATTTCTCTACGAGTTTCTGGTTCTTGATTCTGTATGAGGGCCTGAGCCTGAGCCGGACTTACTCTATTCCTTTTTTATTGACAATATGGCCGAGGAATTGGCCTGATGAAACTGCAAAGAAACACTTTGAAGGGTTCAGCTTCATGTCGTACTTCTTGAGAGTGTTGAAAACTTCCTGAAAGTGCTTCGAATAATCTTCCTTTTGTACACTTTTTACCACCATGTCATCAATGTATGCTTCAACTGTCTTCCCAGCATTTCGTCAAATATTTTGTTAACAAGATGCTAATAGGTAGCCCCAGCATTCTTCAATTCGAAGGGCATGACTCTGTAACAATAAGTGCCCTTTTTTGTAGTGAAGGCAATTTTTTCTTTATCCTCTGGGTTCATTGGGATCTGATTATACCCGGAGTATGCATCGAGGAATGTAAGTCTTTCATACCCAATAGTAGCATCAACCATCTGATCTATCTTAGGCAGGGGAAAGCTATCTTTAGGGCAAGTTTTGTTAAGATTCGTGAAATATATGCATGCCCTCCACTTCCCATTCTTCTTGTGAACTACCACCACGTTCGAGAGTCATTGCCGATAGTGCACTTCTTGGATAAAGCCTGCTTAAAGTAGTTTGTTTACTTCTTCATCAATAATTCGATTACGCTCAGGAACGAACCTTCTGTGTCTTTGCTTAACTGGTTTGAACTCTGGATTTACCTTCAAGCTATGGCAAGAAACTAAAGGGTCGATTCCAACCATGTATGAATGATCCCAGGCAAATGCATCTGCGTTATGTCGTATAACATTAACTAGGGCCTCTTTCTCTTCAGACGTGGGGGAAGATCCTATATAAGTGATTTTTTGAGAATCGCCGAGGACAACTTCTACTACTTCGAGGGTTTCCTCGGTAGGCTTCGCAGCTTCGACCTCTTCCTCTGCTTTGAGACACTTAGACAGAGGGTTCTGTAATTACTATTTGGATATGCCTCTGGAAATTGTATCTGATTGAGGCTACTTGGACATCTTCTTTGCTTCATTTAGTGTCAGCATGTAGCATTCTTTTGCAGCGACCTAATAACCCCAAAGATTAATAACCTCTTTACCGTCCAGAGACAAGCATCGCATCACTTAATGAAAGGTGGATGGAACTCCGTTCATTAGATGAATCCAGCCTCTTCCCATTATGAGATTATAAGAAAGATGTATTTCTGTTAGGATAAAGTTCTCCTTCAGTGTCCTTTTTGCTGCAATGACGGATAAATCAATTACCCCGAGGGGATCCACCTTTATACCATCAAACCCCATCAAGGGGTTGGAGGTGGACCGAATTGATGGTGACGGAATCCCCAGCTGCTCAAAGACCGTCTTCGTGATAATGTTAGCGCTGCTACCCGGATCTATCAAAACCCTCTTGATCATGTAATTCACCACCAGGAGATTGATGACCAATGGGTCCTCATGGGGAAGTTGAACTCGAGATAGATCGACATCGCCGAACTCAATACTGATGCTGCCCGAAGCAATAGTATTGATCGAGGACAACCTTCTTAGTTTATGGGTTGCCCTCAATCTGGATCTGTATAACTCTTCAGACTCTTGATCATCCTCTGATCTCTCATGTATTACATGAATGACCTTTACTTGATTACCTTCTACTGCCGATATAGTACTAAAGGAGCCATAATATTCATTGTATGCAATAACAATTGTATTGTTACTTAAATGGAAAGATATTTACATGGTGTTGTGTGAATTGGGCAGGATATGGTGGTGGGTGGGTCAGAGACAACCTCTAACACAGTTGAGTTTGCCATAGCCGAAATAATGAACAAACCACAAGTACTGCAAAAAGTCCAGCAAGAACTCGACGCAGTCATTGGGAAAGATAACATTGTGGAGAAGTCTCATATTCACCAACTACCGTACTTATATGCAGTGATGAAAGAGGTTCTACGGTTGCACCCAGCCCTCCCACTCTTGGTGCCTCACTGCCCCAGCAAGACATGTATACCTGATGCCCATTCTAGCCACTCAACTTTATCAACACTGACTTATATACACAGCACACAGCCTAAACATACACAACAACCAGTGCTCCTCTGATTTTAGCAGGTGATGCTTCCGAAATGTAAAGAGGTTCTGTCATGGACGCCATTCCAACATCCAAACCCACAAATACACTTCCAGCTATTATCATCCAGGGATTTACAGCAAAGGCCATAATTATAGCACCAACAAATAACAAAAAGTCAGCTCCTAAAATGCGGCACCAACTAGTTTGTTTATTTTAAATTCTTAAAATTTCTTTATTTTAAATTTATTATTGTTTCTCTAAATTTGGTTTTATTATGTGAATATGTCTCTTTTACAAATTTAGTGGCAGCAAAAGTATAAATACAAGAGAGGTAAAGTAAAAGTTGCATATATATATATATACAGCACACAGCCTAAACATACACAGCCACCTGATCACTGCCAAAAAAGCCTTAGCCTAGTTATATACACATTAGACACCACCACTAACCCTTTCACAGAGGTTCAATAATTCAATTTGCGTCTAGATACTCGAGCAGTGGAAGGATCAGAATTTGACAAAAAGGTAACCAACCATTTTATATTTTTTATTTCTTGTTTCTCCTTTTGTATTTGTTTTTTAATCCAGAATCATTCAACATACATATGAAGTTGAAAATTGTGGCATAAAAATGCCACTAGTAGTTTTCTAATTTTACATAAAAATTGTGGATTTTTACACTCACAGAAAGTTGTTTTTACAGATTAAGGAGAAAGAAATTATGTATAAACGATACAGAGAAGAAGCAGAGTCTGAAAAGATGGCATAGACATTTTTCTGCAAATGTAATCATAAATAGTGATGATAATGATAATGATATAAATTGAATTTTCTTAAACTGATCTGCAGATGGAAGAAGAGAAGGCCTTGAAGCAATTAAGAAGGACATTAGTGCCCCATGCTTGGCCGGTGCCTAAGTTCAACCACCCTTTTATCCCACAGAAGTAAGATGGACACTTTTTCTTATTTGATGCATACTTTTACGCCATACTTAGAACGGTTTTGAATTTTTAGAATCACAATTTTTGCGCGCAGATCTTCTAAAGAAATCACAAAGCCGAAGTCTCCAAAATTGAAAATGGTTCAGAGAAAGGAAAGACGAAAAATGTTCAGTACTGTAGCAGCTTCCAGTGCAGCCTCTCTTATGAGGTGATTGTCATGATGATGATGATGATGGGCTTGGTGACCGACTACTATTCAAGAACACTTGAACCCCCAACCTAGTTTAGGCTGCACCAGTTCTAGTACTAGGAGTAGAGAGTATTGTGTTAGTAAAATCATTCTTTTAGTGCCAACTTATGAACTCATAACCCATTCATGTAAGGTGTATTCTAATAGAATGTTAATGATTTTTAGATTGAAATAAATTGTGATTTTTAGATTGTAATAAATCTTCGATAACACCGCAAAATTGGTCACTTTAAGACACTAGACAATACATTCCTTCAAAGAATCTTTATATAGATGCCTATACTTTCTCATTTATATTTCTGATTTCCACTATAAGTTTTTTTTAACCGTCTTTCATTTGCTTCAACTCAACATCGTTTCAATACACATATATACAACACATTACTTCAAAAATCTTTATATTGGTCAACTATGGTTAGATGACTATACGCTTTTCCATGCATATCTAATTTCCACTATAAGTTTTTTTATTTTACTATCTTTCATTATAATCAACATCACGCAATATCATTCTATCAATAATTTATAACACTGTTTATAATTAATAATGCAACAAATACAAAATTATGATAAAGTGTTGAGAATGCAACACACTCAAAATAATGGTTATGTACTATCCCATCATATAAAAGTAGGTCAGACTTGTCAGCTCTAAACCTACATACCATCCAGCAAGACTAGTGTTAGCCCCTTGACGAATTTAGCCCTGTAACAACTAGCATGTAGGCCATGTACACCTTATGCTTAACGTAATTAAATTCCCTTCTTGTCCCACCAAAAACACTCAGTGTGCACTTTGAAGGAACAAAAGGTTATTTTTCCTAATTAAATTCCCTTCTTGTCCCACCTTATGGTTATTTTTCATTTTTTTTTATGCTTTTTGGTAATCAAGCTTTACATTAAAGCTATCATGAAAACTTAGTACAAGAGATCAAGGGAGACAAACCCTAGCATAAAAAGAGAACCAGAACCACCAATCTAAAATGAAAATATAAAAAGGAACAAAAGTGGAGCAAATGATTTGAAGGAACAAAAAGGTTATTTTTCCTAATTAAATTCCCTTCTTGTCCCACCTTATGGTTATTTTCATTTTTTTATGCTTTTTGGTAATCAAGCTTTACATTAAAGCTATCATGCAAACTTAGTACAAGAGATCAAGGGGGACAAACCCTAGCATAAAAAGAGAACCAGAACCACCAATCTAAAATGAAAATATAAAAAGGAACAAAAGTGGAGCAAATAAAATACAAAGCATGAAGCTTGCCCAGAGAACAAAGGCACCTAGCTAGCTATTAGAAACTTTAAAAGGTAAAGATCCTAAAAATACAGCATCAACTACTTCTTTGTAACACGGAACAAATTTATCAAAATTTTACTAAGAAATGTACTGAAAATCTAGGAAAATATATTATTTTAAAGTTTATTTCAGAATTCAACCATCTCTCATCTTCAACCATGGTATGTTAATACAGATATATCATTCATTTTGTATGAGTAAACAAATATAAGAATTAACTGGAAACCCCTAGATAATCTCATTTTTCTGGATGATGGGTTTTCCTAGTTAATTAATTCAGATAAGGTTTCCAACTTCAAAAAAGATATATTATTGCATGGTCCTCTAATTTAAGTCAAATGGTCTTCTGAGGCGTGATTAACAGATAAACTTCTTGTGGATATAATCTAGCTTTTTTCTTATATTCATTTTGATATCAGAAGGGTATTACAATTTCAGGAACTAGGCAAGTATAGTGCATGCAGTTAATAGGAATAAATTATATATATAGAGTACTTTCTAAACTAAGCTGTCAGATTAAGCAAGACATATATAAAATTATATATTACACTGCTGATAATGAAAATTATAACACTATTTGTGATAGCGAGAGCAATCTTGAGTAAAAGTTTATTCATGCACACACCTATGTAAATCATATAAGCATAAATTAAATTGATAACATATATATATATATATGGTTAAACTTCAATGAATCAGTAAGTATTCTGTACTTGTTAGTTAGGATCGATATTGCTCTTCTATATATGTTGTTTACTCACACATTTTCCTTAAATATATAGCAGTTTACCTTTCTGTCTTGGCTTTCTAGAGGGATTCTTTATTTTTCTATACTTCTAAGTCAGGAGTTAGGCCAAAGCTAGACCACTTAACTTACTTTAAGATCAGTATCATCTAAATAAAAGGTTTCAGTACTAAAATCTCATTAATAATGAATTCAAATCAACACCATTTGCAGTTTGGAAATTAAATAACTAGATATCAATATGAAATGCTCATGTCCAACATTAATATTGTTAATTCACAAACCTAGTCGATCATGGTGCCATTTAAAATGATATTATCTACATTTTGTATTTAACAGCTTTCGTTTTACAAACGTCATGATCCTAAGTATTGAATTGGTATTTCATATATTACAATTTCTATAAGAGGATAGATACATCTAAAGATAGAGCTTGATTTGATGATCAGATGATGACATAAGAATTCAATTACTCTATCGATATTGATTTAACCTCAAACAGTATCATATATAGGACCCTATATAGAGTAAACATATTAGAGAGAGACCTAAAACTGGATTCACATAAGATTTTTGGTTGCTCTAATAAACAACACCAGAAAGGGAAACTAAAGAGGAGAAATTAAAAAGAAAAAACAAGAGCACTGTACCTTTGTTCTTTTTGACTGTTTACTACTTCGTGTCATCATCTCTCTTTTAAAACTTGTGAAAATTATTTTGTGATTAAGTTCTTTATTCACAAGTTTTCTCTTCACAAGGAAAAAAAAATAATCCATATATATATAGTTTCTATGTTCACAAATTTTCCAAACGGGGGAAAAACAGAACATAAAGATGAATTCCTAATTCCAGAGAATAGCCCCTTCATTCTTTTTGGAACTCTAACATTCCATTTCCAGGTGGCAAATCCGATCTCACTCCCATGAAGGAAGTAAAGGCTCATGATTGCCAACTATTTTTGCTCTTGTGATACACTCAATAAGAAAGTTTTACATGCCCATCCAAAATAAGTCAAAGAAAATAAAATAGTGAATCATAACGTTGGACTAGAATCAAGAGATGATTATATATAGCACAAACTATATATATATATATATATTAGTACAGAATACAAATAAAAAGAGAAACCCAATCAATTAGGAAATAGAAAATAATAAAACCCAAATCCAGCCAAAAACAAAGCAAATTCAACCAACAAAATTTACAATAAAACCAGAAAAAAAAAAAAAAAAAAAAAAAAACACCATGCGTCAATCCTAAAAATGTTTGAGAAGTTGGGATTGAAGAAAGCCCTAAAAATGTTTGAGAAAAAGCGATTGAAAAAACCCCTAAAATGTTTGAGATAAAGATATTGAAAAAACCCCTAAAAATGTTAGAGAAAGAGGGATTGAAGATTACCTGAAGAATGAATGTGTGTTCAGATCCTTAGATGGTAGAGAGAGGGTTGAAGAAATAGCTCTACCTTGGTCTGGTTCGAAACAGGTTGAGATGGTTTCTCTCTCAACTCTATGACTTCAAGCCTCCTCAGCAGAAATAAAGGACGAAAGAAACGAATTAGAGCGTTAGACTGGATCGGAACAAGTTGAAATTAAGGCATTTGGGGAGACCCAGTGTCGAATTTGTCAGCCATTAGGGAAATTTGAGTAGGAAGCTGTGGGTGGAGTAGCTTTCGGGTGTAGATAGAGAGAGAAGGGTTTGTGGCAATGAAAAAGGGAATTTTTTTTTCCCCCTGCTTTGGCTGACTATCAAGTTTGGCGCGGGAGTAAAAAAATCTGTGGGCGGGAAAATGAAAAAAGCTGTGAAATTTTAGCCTATTAACAAGGCGATTCTATCTCGTGAAATTGTCCGCGGTGGGAATACCCCCAACCCGTGGATGTGGTGGTGGGCCCACCACATTCATAATCCAATGATTCTCACTATCTCATAGTACAATACCCGTTCAGCCTTCGTTAACAAGACCCTTATATCCGTTAAAGTTGATAAATGCCGCATTAATATATGCATATATTGACGAGCACGTTAAAGCTCGTGAATACATGTTTTTACAAAGATTCTATTTAAACTTCGTAAAAGCGCGTGACAATTACAAGAAACTTCATATGAACCTAGTCAAATGTAATTTTTACGAGGCAAAATAAATAAATCTCGTAAATACTGATCGTAAAAATTCACTTTTCTTGTAATGCGCTCTATCTCCCGCTCCCGTTTTATGTGACTTAGTTAATAACTACTAGTTATGTCTTGGAATGTATTTTTTTTTTTTTTTCATTTATTCAAATTTCAATTTTTTTTAAAGCCAAAGTTAAAGACAATGTACAATTTTATATCATGGATCATGGTAATGGATTTGATAGCCATCACACTACTTGATTGACAATGTACACTATTTGATTGTCATCAGTTTGCGATGATCGTTATTGTACAATTTCTATTAATCCCATATTCAATTGTATGTATATCTCAAGGAGTCAATTATGGGGTGGGCACCTGCGAAGTTGTTATGGATTTTCATATTATGATTAATTATAAACAAAATATTCATTTGTAACAGAAAAGTGTAAAAAAAAAACCCCCTGGACTATTGAGAAACTTGCAACTAACTTTTTAAATTATCAAAATTGCAAAAAAAAACCCTGAACTATACAAATTTGTTGCAGATCACTCCATCCGGCGACTGGCCGGCCAAAAATGAGCGCGTGATTATCACGCGACAGAAAAACTGATTTTTTTGGACAATAATGCCCTTTCATGCAAGCTCTATGAAGCTCGTCGTTCAGTCCCGCTGGACGCATCAAACCCAATCACGGCCAAGCTTCATACTCTACGGTGGCCTGGCCTTCTTACTCCCATCCAGCGGGTAGTGCTCTGTTCAACAATGGAGGCATTGGGTCCACAATAGTTCTTGATGGTGTAGGGGTAT